CAGAAGACTTTTTTTTTTACACAAAAAGTGTTTTTTTTTTTTCAAGCCAAAACTGGAAAACCTCAAGAGAATGCATCTGGATCAGCACATGGACAATCTGCACAGCCCCTGATTCCAGTCAGACTGTGAGCTGCTGAGACATGGACAATACCGCCGTCCTCTTTTGCATGGACATCATTTGGAAAAATTGGATTACACAATTTGGACATGATTTGGAACAATTGGATTTCTGAATTTGGACATAATTTGGACTGAATTGATTTGCTGAATCTGGACACTGAAGCTGAAACGTGTGATTGAAAGACACGTCACAGAAGAATTCATGGCTCGACACAAATGCAGCCTGAAGAAATCAAAACAGAGAAGTGGGAGAGACTGTTTTCAAAGCAATATCTGAGAACCATCGACTGATGAAGTTTGGTATTTTACTGAAGATTGTTGACAAGTTTTATGAAAGATCTGAACATGTTTTATGAGTTTTTGAAGTATTCAGAGTTCTGAGTTTTTGAAGTACCGAGTTTAAGTATTGAGTCATGATGTTATGTTGCTGTTTATCGATCCTGATGGTCACACGTGAATGTGTGACCAGAGGGGGGGAATGTGAGATTTCATAACACTTTTAAGCAACTTTTGTTAAAGTTAAACTCATCATTCTATCAATGTGCAGAAGCCAGTACTTTTCCCTTGTTTTGTCTATCTGAAGGCCAAGCTACATGGCACCGTGGCAGCTGCTGATTGGAGGTCTCCATGCCTCCGCTCTGTATAATACACTTGCATTCTGTTGTATCTGTCGTTCGTGCTGTTTCTACCATCGACAATAAAACATGTCTTCTGTCTGAATTAAAGACGCGATCCCAGACTTGGCACATCTTCTTCAGGCCATATTGCTATCTAATACTAACATAATGTTATAAAACAGTATGTTTCATTCTGACAGAAGCACATGATAATGTTATAAAACAGTATGTTTCATTCTGACTGAAGCTCATGATAATGTTATAAAATAGTATGTTTCATTCTGACTGAAGCACATGATAATGTTATAAAACAGTATGTTTCATTCATACATTTAAACATAAAATACATTCACATGCACGGCCCAGCCGCGGCCAGGGATAGGCCTGGGTAGGCCGGTGCCTACCAGTTTTTTTCTTGGCCTTCCCAATTTTGTTCTTCGCCTCTCAAGTCATTAGACTTTTTTGTTTAAAGTCATAATTTCAATATTTTTATTTTTATACACACATTATTAACTAAATGTTGCGTTCTAATCTTTTTTTAGAAAATATAACCCCCTGAGCGTCATCACGTTCCTACGTTGCTTCAAATATAGTTCCGTTTATTGGCTGAACAATTTTGTCCAATAAGCTGCATGATCATATCACACAGCGCGAAGCTCGTTCCCCGAGAACAACAGCTATTCCTCCTCTTAAGGACTGACAATGCTCTCAAAACATTCACAACAGAGTATCCTTTTTCATTTTATTTTTAAGAAAGTTCAGCGTGAACTTCTTGAGGTGGCCCGTAGGTCCCAGAGGAGGAGAGCGCAGTCAGGCCAGGCTCGCCTCGCACATCTTAAAGCTGCTTTCAATATCTTTTCAAATCTGTTTTCCTTTTTTCCATAGCATGTCTGTAACAAAAGTTCTCATAATCTGAAGTCAGCGTATTTACATGGTTTTATGAAACAGAATTCTGAGAAAAACAGGTTTAAAGATTGACATTCTAAACATAATCATCACAGTCACATATAACAAAAATTTGAATTACTCTGTTATGGCACACTTGTTTTAGTCACTATGTTGTAGAAGATTAAAAAGATGTTACTTTGGCACCAATTAAACACACAACACTCATGAATTAGTCGAAAATCAAGAATGTATTGATTCTTTCAATATTCAATGGATTGAATTTTGACCTCTTCTTTTTCTTTCTCTTTATAATTTACTGAAAATTAGATATGTATTAGACATTGCCAGTATTATTCTATCAAATCACGCAGTCTAAATATCCACAACCACCAAGCATTTTTAATGCAAGGGGAAACTTAGGTAACTTTAAACACAAATAAAACAAATGGACCTGTCCGACTCGAGTGTCTATGCTTCGTGTGTCTCTGGTTCTGTCCAAGTATGATCCGCGTGTCTCGCGTGTCTCCGCCTGTCTGGGTTCTGTCTGCGTATATGTAAATGTAAATGTCTGTCTGTGGTTCTGTTCGGGTGTCTATGGTCCTGTCTGTGGTTCTGTTCGCGTGTCTATGGTCCGCGCTCGGAGCCCAGAAGGCAGTGCGTTCACTGAGCTGTCAGAGCGGGGGTCACAGCAGCTGCTCCCTGGGCCAGAGCGGAGGATGTAACCATAACGTTCGGTTTATCAAAACATATCACAATATTTAACGTATAACACTAGTGAATTTCACCTAGATTTTTTCAGACATTAAAGACAAGATGTTATATAATAATTGTTTAATGAAAAAACAATTTTGCCAAAAAAATGACAATCAACCTATTTTTACTGTTTACTCGGAACGTGCCAGCGTGACATCCGACGGGTTTTCCCGTGGAACTCACTCTGTCACTGCAACGACTCAGTGGAACTCACTCTGTCACTGCAACAACTCAGTGGAACTCACTCCGTCACTGCAACGACTCAGTGGAACTCACTCCGTCACTGCAACGACTCAGTCGACTCACTCCCAACTCACATCATCACCTGCACTGAACTCAAAGTATTCACACGCCTGACAAGAGCATGGCTCCTGGAGAGGCAAATTTGTTCGTGTGTGTGTGTGTGTGTGTGTGTGTGTGTGTGTGTGTGAGAGAGAGAGTGAAAGAGAGTGAGAGAGAGAGAGTTCAGTGTAGGATTGTATGAAAGTTAAGAATGGGGGCCGGATGGTTTTATTTTATTTTATAATCTAATCTGTGATGAATTAAATTGTAATGTATGTATGGTAATGTATCCATCTACTTTTATTTTACTGTTTTACAACAATCTGCTCAGGGACTACAGGTATAAATTAGCACAGCTGCTAAAACCTGGTACAATGCATCTCTCCTTCTGGCTAATGTTTATTGTACACTGTCCCTGTAAAAATAAAAACCATACCATACCATACACACCAGACTCATTCTAATGTGGGGGAAGTGTCTTGCCAAAGGACACAACCACAGTTTGGCACTTTACAGCCGCAGCCGCCCCACTGTGGCACCTGCTGTTCCCTGAGGCCTCCCATCACAGTTCTAACCAGGCCCTGCCCTGCTTAGCTACAGAGGTCTGACAGGATCTGGATTTCCCCTGCAGGGGGCGCCGCCATGTATTTGATTGGGTGCATTGGAGCATGGATCTATTATAATATCAAGATACTTAAATCCTTCGGTTTTCTTTAAATCCACACTTTACTGCCACAAACTCTGCTCCTTTCCCGCTCTGATTCCGCTCTGCTGCTGCTCTGATGATCAGCTCTGATTGGTCAGAGCGCGGCCGAGCCTCTCTGTGCACATGTATGAAAGCCACACACGCACGTTTGGCGCAACGCATCATGGGAGCTCGCCCACTGCACAGAACCGGGAGGACCAGACGATGCCCAAATATGGGCGAGTTCTGCTAATCTCCCGGTCTCCATGAAGTCCCATGAACTACTGAGCACAAGCCATTTATTTGAACAGGACGCCATCTTGGATCACCGGGGCTTGGTATAGAGTGCTACAGTTTGGAGCTAAAGGACCATGTGCTCAGGGGATTCTCCTGGTACTGCACTAAACAAGATTAAAGTCATGACGGAGACCCTGACGGAGGCCCTGACGGAGGCCCTGACGGAGGCCCTGACAGAGGCCCTGACCGAGGCCCTGTCTTTCCTAAAGATCACATTTTGTGGGGATTTTAGTGTCCCTTGTCATCCTGAACTTTTTTCTTGCGCTCTGATCAGCAGCTCTGATTGGTCAGAACTAGAGGTGCAACGGTTCATCACTGATCCGTTCGGATCAACGTCTTCGGTTCGGTACAGACGTGATCCGCGGTTTGATTTGCCGCGGCAATTAAGCAGCCCCTTCATGCACAGTCAGACCGGGCTAAAGTCAACTCTCCCGCATATCCACAGTGGCTCACGACTGACGCTTGGACGTCCCGCGGAACCTATAATAGATCCATGAGCGGAACGGGGAGTTATGGTATGGTATGGTTTTTATTTTTAAAGGGACAGTGTACAATAAACATTAGCCAGAAGGAGAGATGCATTGTACCAGGTTTTAGCAGCAGTGCTAATTTACACCTGTAGTCCCTGAGCAGGTTGTTATGCTATGTTCATTGAAGAATGAACCAAACCGTGGCCTCTAAACCGAGGTATGATCCGAACCGTGATTTTTTTTTTTTTTTGCACCCCTAGTCAGAACGTTGCCGTGCTCCTCTGTGCACGAGAGAGCCACACACACACGTGTTCGTTAGTAGTTGCCGCAAAGCCTCATGGGAGCTCGTCCACTGCGCAGAACCAGGAGGACCAGAGAGAAATGCCCAATTACGGGCGAGTTCCGCTAATAGTTCGGTGCCCATGGGGGGCGCCACTGAGCACAAGCCATTGATTTGAACTCGCTGCCATCTTTGATCACAGGGGCTTGCTTGGGAGATGTTTCTATAAATTTAATGAAAGTTCCTGTAGAAACAAGGCTTTGAGTTCACCTTTCTCAGCGACGAACCTGGTTGAAAGTAAAGGCAGAAGCAGCAGCCAAGAGACAAATTTATATTTAGTTTGATTTGAAGCTTTTTACAGAAGATTGTACTTTACAGAACCAGTTCAGCACAATCTCACTCACATGAACGTGATTTTTCTTTGTTAAATGATTATCATGGAGGTCTGGGCTGCTCGGGCGACTGCCTCTGCGACCTGGCAACCGATAAAGCGGAAGTGGATGACTTATGTGCATAGATGCTTTTTATACTTGGTTGTAGCCACAGCGTCAAAGTCCTGTCCCTAATGCAGAGTTGTGTAACTCAGTCTGTCCCACTGTCTCCTGCAGCTGTCCTCGTCCCCTCTGTGTCCTATGTCCCACTGTCTCCTGCAGGTGTCCTCGTCCCCTCTGTGTCCTCTGTCCCACTGTCTCCTGCAGGTGTCCTCGTCCCCTCTGTGTCCTCTGTCCCACTGTCTCCTGTAGGTGTCCTCGTCCCCTCTGTTTCCTCTGTCCCACTGTCTCCTGCAGGTGTCCTCGTCCCCTCTGTGTCCTCTGCCCCACTGTCTCCTGCAGGTGTCCTCGTCCCCTCTGTATCCTCTGTCCCACTGTCTCCTGCAGGTGTCGTCGTCCCCTCTGTATCCTCTGTCCCACTGTCTCCTGCAGGTGTCCTCGTCCCCTCTGTGTCCTCTGCCCCACTGTCTCCTGCAGGTGTCCTCGTCCCCTCTGTATCCTCTGTCCCACTGTCTCCTGCAGGTGTCCTCGTCCCCTCTGTGTCCTCTGTCCCACTGTCTCCTGCAGGTGTCCTCGTCCCCTCTGTCCCACTGGCTCCTGCAGGTGTCCTCGTCCCCTCTGTCCCACTGGCTCCTGCAGGTGTCCTCGTCCCCTCTGTGTCCTCTGTCCCACTGTCTCCTGCAGGTGTCCTCGTCCCCTCTGCCCCACTGTCTCCTGCAGGTGTCCTCGTCCCCTCTGCGTCCTCTGTCCCACTATCTCCTGCAGGTGTCCTCGTCCCCTCTGTGTCCTCTGTCCCACTGTCTCCTGCAGGTGTCCTCATCCCCTCTGTGAGTTCTGGTCTGAAGCAGGTGATATTGAAATGTAACTTAAGTTATCATTTTGGTAAATCATATGTGGCTATGTGCTGAATTCTCTGTATTGTAATTCACTTTAGCTTCAGGAAGACACCAGGAGGTCTGGGGAGCTCATATGCTAAGTGTCTTTTGTTGTGTTGGTTTCTTCCTTTCCCATCTGCATATGAAGGTGTGTCTTGCTCTACCAAAGGGGCTTGCAGACTGTGAATCTTCAGACTTGTCCTGAGAGAGGCTAGGGTCTGTGCCTTGCCTCTGTCAATGTAACAAGTAAAAGATTAACTTTGTATCTTTGTTGTGTGAGATTTCATCAGGTTCAACTGTAGCTGAAACAGCATTATCACTTGGTCCTTCGAGCCGGATCCCAACACTTCTTACAGGAGCTGAGCTTGTCTCAAACATGGACTTCCAGGAGCAACAACAGGGCCTTCTGCATTCTGAACTGCATTGGAACTCCAGGTTTGAGGCAGGACAGCCCTGGGTTGGAGTCGACGGGAGAACTACAGTTTTTTCCTGATGAAATCGCAACAAAGGCAAGTTCTGTACACTCTAAATTATGTCCAAAAGTAATCCAGGATTTAGTGTGAAGTTCACATGAACACATTCATTTAGGAAAACGCAGAAATTGTGCCTTAGTCTAGGAATTTATTACACTACGAATTATGTCCAGGACTAATTCAAGAGAGTAGTGTGGAGCTCGAATGAACCGGGTTTCATTTAGGAGAATTGAATTACTTCGGACTGAACTTCTACATAACTTCTAAACTGAAATTGGACATTTAAAGATATCTCAATACACTAAATTGAAATTGGATGTTTAAAGACCTTTAAATTACTCAAAATTTGGAATTGGACATTGCAAAAAGTAGATAGACCGCCATTTTAGGTGGCCATGTGGTCCTTTGTCCTCTGGCCATGTGTTTCTTTGTTTGTCTTCGTCTTTCTTTGTCTTGTGTGTTCTTCCTTTGTCCATGTGTTTTATGTGTTTAAGTGTTTGTCTGTTTAAGCTCAAACTAAACTGACAAAACAAACTCACTAACTAGTGTTAGTATTAGATAGCAATATGGCCTACGTGCAGGACTGTACAAGGACTCTACAAGGCCTCCATGTTTTGACTATGATTTGCACTCTCTCTGTGTGACACGTATGTCTTTCGACGTGACAATGACTATATAAACTGTGTACTGACTCCATTCTGTCTGAGAGAAAGAAACAAGGGAAACCACTGGAACTTGAGAGAAACTTAAATAAACTTCCAGAGTTTGGCGCACCACGATCCGTCTCTGTCTGCTTCATCCCTGACAGATTTGGTGGAGGATGTGCGGCTCAGTGTGCGCCATTCTCTGGATTGTTTTGAGGGAGTTTTCTTTGTTTCTTTTCCTCGACGTGAGAGACCGGCATGCTGTGTCTGGGAGCGGAGATTCCAGCAGGCTGGAAGAGCTGTTCCTGGTAAGGTAAGCAGACACCTTTTTATATGTAAAGTCTGTATAATTGGATACTAGCTAAATTTTGGTCTGTTTTTGGGGTCTGTCAAACTCTCTAAATTGTATTTGAAGAAGTCTCGGGGTTAGAGTCCCTTTGAGAAGAAGTCTCGGGGTTAGAGTCCCTTTGAGAAGAAGTCTCGGGGTTAGAGTCCCTTTGAGAAGAAGTCTCGGGGTTAGAGTCCCTTTGAGAAAAGTCTCGGGGTTAGAGTCCCTTTGAGAAGAAGTCTCGGGGTTAGAGTCCCTTTGAGAAGAAGTCTCGGGGTTAGAGTCCCTTTGAGAAGAAGTCTCGGGGTTAGAGTCCCTTTGAGAAAAGTCTCGGGGTTAGAGTCCCTTTGAGAAGAAGCTTCAGGGTTAGAGTCCCTTTGAGAAAACCTTTTCGGGGTTAGAGTCCCTTTGAGAAAAGATAGAGAAGAAGGATCCTAAGTGAAACCATGGTGTAATAATAAAAGCAATAAAAAGGGAAATGTGTTAAAGAGGCCTTTGTTACAAAAGCTTTGAAATTGACAAATTTCAGGCTGATAAATGACAAAAGTAAAGAAGCAACAATATTTCAGTGATCACGGTTTAAATTACATACAGAAAAAGGGAGTTTTTGTGTTTTAGTTTGTTTTTTGGCGTGAACGGAGTTCACCGGAGAATGCAGAGTTTTATCTAAAGTTGAGCTATGAGAGCTTTTGTGAGTTATTTACATTTTTTGCCGAGTTTTATCTACAGTTGAGCTATGAGAGGGTTGTATCCAACAGTTGTTTTTGTTTTTTAGAAAGAGATTTTGAGTTTAAATTAGTTTGCTACCTCGATAAAATAGAAGGAAACGTTAAGAGGGCCATTTCTAGACTTGGATGACGAAAGTTTAAAGAACAACATCAGTTATATTAGCTTAAAAAAGTAATCTTGAAAGTTCTTCTTCTTTCTGTTTTTGCATTTTTGCTAAAACACTACTTTCTGCCTGTGTGTGTGCGCGTCTGTGTGACGGGAACCCCCCCGCCCTTGCTGCGCTGCTGCTGCTGCTCTGATTTAAAGGGGAGCTACTGCTTTTAGGATTTTGGCTTTTCATAGTTTTTATTCCGTTAAATTTGCAAAATTTGCCATTGAACATTGTGTTATGACACAGTTAAACGTTTTTAAACCCCATTAGTGAATAAGTTTTGAATATTATATGTTTTTAAACCCAAATATTAGTGCTAAAGCTTTGCTTTTCTTTTTAAATCTGCTGCTTATTTTTCGAGTCCATTATTGTATCTCTGATATATTTCATAGCGGTTTGTGAGAATTTTTTCATGTATTTTTATTTTAGTTACAAAAGCCGTTTTTCAAACATTTAAATTAGAATCTGTGTTAAAAGTGATTATTGATTATACCGGGGTAGAGAGAGGTCTCTGGAGACGTGATGGGTGGAGCATCAGGCAGAGACCTGGATGAGAGTTGAGAGTGTGTCCAGTTGGTTTACATCACCACAGTGTGACCTTTGAGACCTACAGGTGGTTCAAGGAGTCTGGAAACACAGCCCCAAAATACACACACACACACACATACATTCATACACTCACACATTCACATTTACATATAGATACATGAAAAAGCAGAACTTGAGAAAAAAGCATTAAAAGTTTATTCCAATGTAAACAAATATTTTTCATTGTCTATCACCTGAATCTTTATTTGAATCAGTATTTTTGAGACCAGAAATGTTCATTTGAATTCTATATTGTCATGGACATAATTGACGTCTGTCCTGACACTTTTTATGTTTTGATTTTGTACTGTGTGAAGTAATTACATTGATTAGGATTAGAATCAAAGTGATTTAACCATAGAGAGTAACTACTGCATAACAAGCTGTGTACAGGAACTGTGACACTGCACCATTGACCAGAAGTGCATCGCAAATGACCTGATGTGCGCTTCAAGTGAAAAGACTGTATCTGGAGATCCGATGTCTAACTGGAGAGACCAGAGCAACCCAAGTACCTGAATGAATCTGGAGACCAAAACCATGGCTTGGACCCTACTGATGTCCAAGATGACATCTCTCGACATATGAACTGACCTGATGACGACTGAGACTCACCCTCAGGGGACCCTGGGGACCCTGAGGACCCTGAGGACCTGAGAGAGAAAAAACCTGGGGAGTGATGTTTTGTATTTTTAAAATCATACCATTGATGAGTGCTAGATGAGAGAGATACTCATGATTCTTTCTTTTGTTTTTGTTTGTCCCTAGCTTCTGGACATCTGATGATCTATTGGACACAGACATTTGCAGAACAAGAACCAGCCAATGAAAAACCATCTATTGCAGATGCTATTGCTACAACCAGAACCACAACTGTGACCAAATGCAATATAAATGCAATACAAGTATTCAGACATCTGACAGACAAAAACTTTGACTTTTTAGTCTGGGAGACTGAGCAACTGTTAAAATGTTTTAAAATGATAAAGTATGAGTATTGTAGCGTTTAGTAGATGTTAAATAGTAGTAAAAGAGTAGAATTTGATTTTCTTTGTTGTTCATAAAAACATTTCCACATAAGAGTTAAAATAGTATCATACAATGTTATCCTTTTGATAGAGCAGCTAAAATATTAGAATCAGAGTTATTTTAGAGACATTAAAAGTGACAGAAGTCACAAATTAGAAATATGCCTTGGCTCAAGCTGCAACCGAGCTTTAGAGTCACAATAGAGTAAAAATAGGAATAGATAAATGCATCAACCATAGATGCTTTCAAAAATAGAGAATATTTCTAGCATATTAACCATTTGTCTTTCTGTGTTCACAGTTTTATTCCTGAGAATGTAGAATAGACATAGAGCAAAATCCCACTAGCACAAAGCCACTGGTAATGAAAGTAAACCACAGAGAGATTTATTAGTTTAATGGTGCGTTCAGACCAAACGCGATTTCTGCGGCCAAAGCGGCGGGTCTACATTGACACAACATGGGGGACGCGCGCCAAGGAGCGGCGAGAGATCACGCGGCGCGATTCGCGCGGCCAGAGCGGCGCGAATTCGAGCGTTTCGCGCGATTCGCGCGGCGTGTTTTGAGATGTCAAGCGTTTTGACGCGCGTTTCGCGCGATTCGTGCGATTCGTGCCTCCAACGCGGCCGCCGCTAGAGTTGAACAATGTTGAACTTTTTGGGAGAATTCGCGTGTGCCGACCAATCAGGAGCTTTCTCCTCCAGTGACGTAGTGACGCATTTCACTACCGGAAAAACACTGGTAGATGACAGCTATGGAGGACACGTCAATTGCTCAGGTCGGTGCTCATTCTGAGCTATATAACACTGCGGACCACAGCTACCGGGACCGAAATAAAAAGGAGCTTGCTTGGAGGAGGGTTAGCGAGGTGGTTGGTGTCTCGGGTAAGTTATTTTAACTTTTCAATGTTGTAAATATTTCCCCGCGAAAAAAACTACTACTTTCCTGCTTACGAGTTGATGTGTTTATTCAGTGGAAGTTTGCAAAAAGCGGTGGAAGAATCTGAGGGACACAT